CATTGGCAGCAGCAGAGACAACATCGGCAGCAGCAGAGACAACATCGGCAGCAGCAGAGACATCATCGGCAGCAGCAGAGACATCATCGGCAGTAGCAGGAACAACAACAGTAGCAGCAACAACGACACCACTCCTCGTTGACGAAGCACCACCAACACCCGCACAGCAGCTGAATCCGGCTCAACGGGAAGTCCATAGAAGCGCAAACTTCACCGCCAGCTTCTACTCCAACTCCGACGCGTATCGACGCTCACCCGGACACCGCGCCTCCGAAGACATCTGGCACGCACGCATGGGACACCCAAGCAACACTGTGTTAAACAACACAATAAGAGCAGGAGTCCTTGACAAGGACTCGTTACTACTACTCGACGGCAGAGAACTTCAACGGGCACGAGGAACATGTCTTACCTGCCCCGAAGCCGACTTACCACATCGGCCGTTCACTCCTCATCACAACCCGAGCACACCCACGTACGCACCACTCGAAAAGGTGTATAGCGACATCCTGTACAATCGGGAACCAGGACAAGTAATATACAACTACACAATCACCTTCATCGACGCCGCCACCCGTTACGTCTGGCATCTAAACCTACCCAGCCGCGACATGGTCCTCGAAGCATTCGCTGCTTGGCTACCAGTAGCAGAAAGAGAGTCGGGCGTAAAGCTGAAAAGCTTCCAGTCTGACGGAGGAGGAGAATACACCTCTCAGCGATTCAAGCAGTACCTGGCGGAAAGGGGAATCAAGCAGCTCCTCTCTCTTCCCTACGCCCATCAGCAGCAAGGTGTAGCAGAAAGAATGAACAGGACTCTGCAGAACAGCATGCGCAAACTGTTGCGTGGCATGCGGCTACCCAACCACCAGTGGCCTGACGCGATGGACCACGCTGTCATGCTGCACAACTTGCTCTCATCTTCATCACTACCGAACAACGCATCACCGCATCTGCTGTGGACAGGAAAACAGGGCAGCACAAAAATGTTACGAGTGTTCGGATGCATGGTACAGTACCGACCCCTAGCAGCACGAGCGGGCCGATTTTTACAACGCGCACAGTGGGGACTACACCTCGGCATCGAAAAGAACTACAACGCGTGGAAAATCTTTGACGTCCACTCCAAGGAAACAGTAGCAGCACGCGACGTCATTTTCTACGAACGACTCACGCTCCAGACATACCTTGCCAACCTGCAAGAGGACCAAGATCCCACAGGTGGTTTTCGTGGTGACCGAGCCTTCGCCTCGGCAGCAGACGAAGCTGACTGGGACGAGCAGAATGTGGCCAACGCATCAGAAGAAGCTGGACCCCTTCCGTTCTGCTCCGTCGACGTCCCCATGGACGAAGATAACCCTCGCGAAAGTGTCAACGCCGAAACCTTCTACTACTTCGCCGACAACGGTTACGTAACACCTGCGACAGTCAAGACCAACGAAGCAGAACGAGTAGGACCGAATTTCATACCTGATCCAGAAGCGGGAGATGAAGCAGCTTATCCCGAGGATGCAACTCTTCCCCGCTACTCACAGACTGGACTGCAGATTCTCGGACTCGTCACCGCAGTCCACGGCAACACTCTTCCTAAGGAGCCTGCGACGGTTCAGCAGGCTCTGGGGGGGGGAACACAGGGAAAAATGGCGTGAAGCCATGGACAGAGAGTTAAAGGCGCTGGAGGAACGGAACACCTGGAAAGTTGTCCCCATCAGCGTGGCAAGGAACAAGACCATTCTCACCGGGAAATGGGTCTTCCGCGTTAAAACAAAAGCAGACGGCACAATTGAGAAGTTCAAAGCACGCTGGGTTGTGCGTGGATTCGATCAGGAGCACGGACGGGACTTCACCGAGACATTCGCCCCGGTTAGCCGACATACCTCACTTCGAATCCTCCTCGCGATCGCCGCCATGAAGAAAAGGAAGCTACGGCAAATCGATGTCGCCAACGCGTTCCTCTACGCACCTGTCGACGTGGAAATCTTCGTCGAGCTCCCACACGGTACCAACGGGGAACCTAACCAAGTCTGTCAACTGCTGAAATCACTTTACGGGATCAAGCAAGCTCCGCGGCTATGGCAACAGTACCTACACGCTCGCCTCATTCGCATCGGATTCCGCCAACTACCTCACGACCAAGGAATGTACCGACTCACTAAAGACACCGACTACATTCTGCTGATCGTCTACGTAGACGACCTACTCTACATCGGCTCCACTGACGACATCACCACCTGGTTCGAAGGGGAGCTACAGAGGGACCTCACACTCACGGTCTCCTCTACCGTCACACAGTACCTCGGCTTGAACATTCGGGAAGAAGAAGGCGCGATCTACCTCAACGCCGCTAAGTACGCCGACACCATCGCCAAACGCTTCGCGCTCACACCTACCACCATCTCTACGCCCTACCGCTACGCGACAGGAAACCACAAGGAAGGATCCTCTCTACTCAAATCCGCCGGGATACGCGACTACTAGAGAAAGCTAGGATGCCTTCTCTTCGCAGCTGTCACCTGCCGCCCCGACCTCTCATACTCCGCAAGCCAGCTCGCCACCTACCTCAAGAAGCCTGAAGCAGAACACCTGGCGGAGCTCGACCGCGCTCTCCACTACTTCGTCAGTACCTCAACGATCGGCCTAACTTACTACAAGAACACAACTACACCGACTAAATTAATCGGCTACGTCGACGCTGATCACGCTGGCGACTCCGACAACAGGCGCTCCCGCACCGGCTACATCTACCGCCTCGAACCTATCGGACCGATCTCCTGGCAATCGAGCAAGCAGGAATTAATTGCTCTCTCGTCAGCTGAAGCAGAATATATTGCACTCTGCTCAGCCACCAAGGAAGGACTCTATCTTCGCGAGCTGCTGGAAGAAGCGAAGTTAGCCGAGTTACCCAACGTCACTCTGTTCTGCGACAACCAATCTGCAATTCGCATCGCCAACAAAAATGGATTCGCGAACAGAACGAAGCATATCGCTCTGCGATATTTCTTCGTGAAAGACGAGATTGAGAAGGGGAGACTTGAACTATCCTACTGTCCCACGTCCGAGATGGCAGCTGACTACTTGACCAAGAAGCTCGGAAAACAAAAGTTCGAGTACTGCATGCTGCTGACTGGACAAAGCCACGTCACCAGCAGCGACACTCCAGAAGCGAAGGGGAGTGTTGGGAACAAACAATCTTAAGCGCCTCTGTCGTGTCGAAACACCAAGGCACAAGCGAAGCAGAGCATATCGAGGCACCAGCGAGTCAACCCTCGGAGGTTGAAGTAACCGCTGGAGGTTACGCGAAAGTCAAAGGTCAGCGACCTTTGACTTGACAAATGCAGCGCGACAGCAAGGACACACAACTGACTCGACATTGAGCAGTTGCCCGAGTCGCACTGTATCGAACCGCAACAGTAAAACAGTTTAATTATATCTCTTCGTATTCTTTGTACTCTTATATAAACCTTTGTACTTGCTTGTTTTAATCAACTTTCTTTGCCCTCACATACCAGCGCAAGGTGGTTCAAGGACTTCATTTAAACGCTTCCGCTACTACATCACTCTACCCAGAGTTTAACCCTACCAAAGATCCTAAGGGGCACTCAGCCCAACACAAACGGCCATGGATTTTTTGCATATACGCTTTCATGGAGCCTCCACTTCATCGGCCGTGCCATCCATGCATCATGCAACCATAGTGTCTTAATTGTGTTGCGTTCATAACGAGTCACATAACATTTTTTTTTTGGATGTGATGTGAAGATCCGTTGTTTCTGAATTGCGTTTTCACATTATGAAGGAGTTTTGCAAAGCTGCAAAGGTGTGTACCGGTATTACTGTACTATTGTAATGCTGCTATTCCTATCGCAAATTTCACTTTCAATGTGGTTGGTTGCGAAACTAAACGCACTGGTCGCATAGGTTACGACTAGCCGATCAATCTGTTTGAAGCCATAAACACTTGGGAAAATATGCAAATCGTAATCAACAAGGGTCTCGATAATATGTTTGTTAAAAAAAATAACGGGTACGATCACTGCAAAGGGTGTTTTCACGTGTTTGATAAAATGTTTCACGGAATCAGTCACAATCAACTGGGAAAAAAAAAAACGCGAATGGTGACAGATGAAACTCCCGCCCAAAAAAGATAATACCCAAAACGAACCTGGATGCATTTTCGGATGAATCAACCCTAAACACAACTCGGCAGGTGTTTAGGGCTGTTCCGTTCCCAAACCGCATCCGATTCCGATTGGGTTTTAGTATTTTGAGAAATTAGCTGATTGGTTGGGTGCGAGCAGGAATTTTGTAGAGTTTCAAGAAATTTTGGCGGGAGTTACATGTGTGACCATTTGCGTGATTTTTCACCTGTTGTTAGTGACTGAATCCGTGACCCCACTTACCAAACCCGTCAGCAAACCCGATACAGTGACCGTACGCGTTACTTTTTTACCATTCACGTTATCGAGTCCCATGTTCGTTACTTGTGACATATTTCTTCCCTAAACACTTTTGACCTAATGAGGTCACGCCATTGGTTTCTTTCTATTCAAGACAAAAGCACGCCCGAAGCCAAAAGCACTTCCGCGGTCTGCAGTTGCTCCTTGGTTATGGTGGTTCCGCAGCGACGATTGGCCGCTGCAGACTCGCGCATGTGTTCGGCTTTGAGCTGACAACTTCGTTTTAGGGCCACGAACTTGAGCCACTAAACTATTTTTTAGTTGCTGGATTTTGTTTTCACCGATCAAGGCCAGCATATTTCCGCATAAGAGAGGCGTTCGCGTTCCGTCGCGAGAATTGGCCGAGCGGATCTTTAATCTTCCTAGGCGGAAATAGAAGGCGGTCGTTTCACATTCGGTTCTTATCTTCCTCAAGGTCCCCACGGCCATTCGACCTTAGTATTTGAGATTGAGGAGAGTGACTTTTAGTGCGAGACGTCTGAGAGATTCCGGTTTCACTCGCGCGAGTCTTGTAACGAAAGCGACGTAAAGGGAGGGCCGGGCGCAATGGATCTGGCGGAGGGCTCCACGGACCCTTCCGCGGAGCCCGCGGAGGGGCCCGCAGAACTGGCGGAAGGCCTGGCGGAAGGTTTGGCGGAAGGCGGAACTGGCGCTACGGACGGAGGGTTGGATTCAGATGTTGTGGGGGGAGCGGAATCGGCGGGAGAAGGGGGGAACGCGGATACAGTGGGGGAAAGGGGCGCGGGGGAGGGTGGGGGAGGGGCGGAAGCAAGTGAGGGGAAGGGCGCGGGAGTGGGCGGATCTCCCCCAATGCAGCGGTTGGGGGAAGTGGTGGCAGCAGGGGCGGAAGACGTTCTGGCGGAGGGGCAAGGGGAAGGCGCGTTTGCGGAAGGGGAAGGGGAAGGGGAAGGGTCTGGTTTGGGGGGAATTGAAAAAGTGGCCGGAGAGGCGACAATAGACGGTGGGGACATTAAGGGGGGAGATAGAGGAGATGTTGCTCCTGCGAGTGGGTGTGGAGTGGATCAGGGGGGAGTGGGGGAAGAGGGAGGAGGAGAGGAGGAGCAGAGAGGAGGGGGAGGAAAAGGTCAAGACGAGAAAGGGGGAGATGAGATGGCGGACGGGGAGAAAGGGGATGAAAAGAAGGGGGATGAGGAGACGGGGAAAGAGGATGAGGGTGAGGGGAAGAAGTTGGAAGGGGAGAAGGGGGAAGAGGAGAAGGCGGGAGAGGATACGGGGGAAGAGGAGAATGGGGGAGAAGATAAGGGGGAAGAGGATAAGGGGGAAGAGGAGAATGGGGGAGAAGATAAGGGGGAAGAGGATAAGGGGAGAAAACTGACGGGTGAATTGGAGGATGGGGATGAGGAGATGAAGGAAGCGGAGTCAGGAAGCGGGGAGAAGGGGGAAGAAGTGACAGGAAGAGAGAAGGGGGGGGAAGAGGAGACAGGAAGAGAGGCGAGGGGGGAAGAAGAGAAGGGGGACGAGGGGATGGAAATAGGGGCAATGGGGGAAGAGGAGAAAAGGGGAGAGGGGCAACATGAGGAGGAGGGGGCAGCAGCAGCAGCTGACGAAAACAGTGCACTCGAGGATTTGTTAGCAACTGCTCCTGCTTCCGCTCCTTCTGCCGCTCCTCTTATTGTTGATGTAGCAGCAGCAGCAGCAGCAGCAGCGAGAGCACCAGCGGCAGCAGCAGACGTGCCTATAACGAGTGGCATAGTAATGCAGGTCCCAGCACTCAAGACTCCTCTACAGGATACGGCAGCTGTTGAGACGACTGACAACCATCAACCGAGAGAGTTACTCTGCAGCAGCAGATGCCTTCTCATGGGAGTTCTCCCGTGCTGGATGCGGCAAGTGTACCAGTCAAGGCTGCTGTAACGCAAAGTGTAACCGAGAGCACAATTCAGGGTGTAACCCAGAGCGCAACCCAGGGTGTAACCCAGATTGTTCCCGAGTGCACTGAATTACCTGACGCTCAGCTGGATGCTCAATCGGCAGCTGGTGTCGAGAGACTTGAGTCAACTCAGAATCCACTTTCTGTGAAGGCAGAGACTGGAATGGATGTTGCTGTGGATACTGCTGACGCAGCTGCTACTAACGCAGCTGCTACTGACGCAGCAGCTGATCCTCCTGCGGGCACTAGAGTTTCCTCCTTCCTATCCACGCCACCAGCCCACACTCATGTCCCTGTGACTGCTGCATTACCCCCCCCTCAAGCCCCTGTCTCTGCTACAGTACCTTCCATGTCACAAACTCATACCCCTGTTTCTGCTACCACTCTTTCCTCCCCTCTTCTTCCTACCCCCGTTCCCCCTCCTGCTGCTCTTTCTCCATCCTCGCACCTCCCTCACCCTCTTCCTCCTCCTACTCCTACGGCCGCCGCGCCTCCCTTATCACTCACGCCAGCTCAGCTCTCCCTCCTCCAATCGCAGCGCGACTGCTTCGCCACGCTGGCGGCCGACCAGCAACTCACGGACCGCCAGCTGGCGGGCCTTTTCCCGCCGCAGCTGGTGCGTCAGAAGGTCGAGGCGCTCAGGAGGATAAGGCGGGCGGCAGAGGAGAGAGTGAGAGTGGGGAGGGAGATGGTGAGAGAGGGGGAGTGGGGGAAGCTTGTGGAGGAAGGGGAGAAGGAGGAGAGTGAGAAATTGGAAGAGAGGATTGCGAAGTTGGAATCCTTGCTGGCGGTGGTGCAAGCGCCAGCTGTCAGGAGATCATTGGAGATCCAGCTCAGGTGCCTGAAGCTTCGTGGGTTGCAGAGGAAGGTTCGTTTCGAGGTGCTTGCTGAGAAGAGGATCGCTGACTGGGCGGTGGGCGGCGCGGTGACTGGTCGTTCGGTGAACGGGCACGCTGATGTGGCAGATGCTGACGTGGCGCGTCCGGAGCTGGCTGATGACGAATCGGATATGGTCAAAATCGTAGAAGATGACGTGGCGGTGGAAAGTGGGCGGGTGGGGAAGAAATGGAGAGCAGTTGAAAGTGAGTGTGAGATAGAGGTAGTGGGAGAGGGGGATGAGAGTGAGAAAGTGGATAAGGAGAGAGAGGAGCGAGTGAAAAAGGAGGAGGAGCAAATCATGAAGGCCAACGTGGCACACGGGCGGCACCAGCTGCTGCTGGACTGGAGCCTGCTGCGTCTGACGCATGCTGACGTGGAACGCGCGCTGCTGAGGTGGCAGCTGCCACCTGGCATGAAACCGTCCGAGGAGGAGGTGGAGGCTGAGGTGGAAGACTTGTGGGACGAGGATTATTATGAGGAGGGGTTAGGGTTTGAGATAGAGGCGAGGAAGAGAGATGCTGCAGCGGCGGCGGCGGCGGCTGCTAGGGCTGCTGGTGGTGGGGTTGGTGTTGCCGGGATTGGCGTTGGTGGGGTTCTGGATCTGGATTTTGAAGCTTCAGAGGCCATTGAGGTAAGCAGCGGCTTGAGTGAATCACAGGTGATTTCAATGTTGATCTGTCAGTCGGAGCATTGGCAGCGGCTGCTAGGGCTGCTGGTGGTGGGGTTGGGTTGGTGTTACTGGAACTGGTGTTTGTGGGGTTTTGGATCTGGACTTTGAAGCTTCAGAGGCCACTGAGGTGGGTTTGGTGGTTGGATGATCACGATGTGGTTGTTTTTCATTTCTTGTTTCGTGTGATCTTTCTGTTAGTGATCTCAATAGTGATTCACGCTGCCATCCTTTGTTTCGCCTTTCTCTTCCCCCAATCCCCCCCCTCACCCCCACACACACCCCCTCTCCCCCACCCCCTTCCAAAGGCGGCTCGAAGAGCGCGTCGGGCGGCAGACTCTGCAGAATCCGCTGCCCGGTTCTTCGCTGACGTGGCACAGGCAGGGCGCGACATGTCAGCGGCCAGCCTGGCGGAGCAGCGGCGGCGGAAGCAGCGGAGCGACGGCGTGCTGACGTGGCACGCGCGTCAGAAGCAGCGCGCGTCGCGGGCCGAGCGAATGCGAGTGCAGGCTCTTAAAGCCGGGGACCAGGAGGCGTACTTTAAATTAGTGGAGGAGAGTAAGAACGAGAGGTTGCATACTCTTTTAGGGAAAACGGATGAGCTTTTACAGAGGCTGGGGGCTATGGTACAGAAGCAGAAAGACGCTGGTGGTGGGGTTGGTGGTGGGGATGGTGGTTGGGGAGGTGGTGGGGGAGGTGGTGGGGGAGGTGGTGGGGGGGGTGGATTGGGGGTTGATGCTGCTGTGACAGCAGACCGAGGTGTGGAGGGGAGGGCAGCAGCAGAAGCAGATGGGGGAGCAGGAGGGGAGGGAGGGGGGGCAGGGGAGGGGCAGGAGGGGCAGCAGGAGGGAGCAGGGCAGTCGAAGCGTGATTTAATGGAGGGGCAGAGGCGGTATGACCGAGCAGTGCATTCGATCGAAGAGAAGGTGACGGAACAGCCCTCGTTATTGTCACCCGGGCGGCAGCTTCGGCAGTACCAGATGGAAGGGCTACAGTGGATGGTCTCCCTTTATAATAACAATTTGAACGGGATTTTGGCGGACGAAATGGGGCTCGGGAAAACGATACAAACGATCGCGTTTATCGCGTTTATGGCGGAGAAAAAGGGGGATTATGGACCGCACTTGGTGTTGGCTCCCAAGGCTGTGCTTCCGAACTGGGGAGTGGAGTTCGCGGCGTGGTTTCCCACTTGCAGTGTTGTGATGTATGATGGGAGGCAGGATGAGAGGAAGCTTCTGAGGGAGAAATTCGGAGGGGCGCTTGCAGGGAGGAGAGGAGGAGGGGGGAGGAGGGGCGGGTGGAGGGGAGGAGGGAGAGGAGGGAGGGGAGGGAGAGGAGGGAGGGTGGTGGATGATGATTGGGGGAGTGAGGAGTCGGGGGGCGGGGGGGGAGCGGGGGGGGCGGGGGGAGGAGGGGGGGTGACGGGGCCAGAAGGGGAGGAGTATAAGTTCAGTGTGCTGCTGACGCACTATGACCTTATTATCAGGGATAAGGCGTTCCTAAAAAAGATTAAGTGGCACTATGTGATAGTAGACGAGGGTCACCGGCTTAAGAACCACGATTCTGTACTTAGTAAAACGCTGGTGGCGGGCTACTCGATCCGGAAAAGACTTTTGCTGACGGGGACGCCGATTCAGAACAGCCTGGGGGAGCTCTGGGCGCTGCTGAATTTTCTTCTGCCCGCGATTTTCAACTCGAGCGATAATTTCGAGGACTGGTTCAATGCGCCGTTTGCGGATAAGTGCGATGTGTCTCTGAACGAGGAGGAGCAGCTGCTGGTGATTCGGAGGCTGCACCAGGTGGGTTTATTCTGAGATGTTTCCATCCCTCCTCTCCTCTTTCTCCTCCCCCTCCCCCTCCTCCCCCTCTCCCTTCTTCCTGAAAAGAACACAAAACAACAAAGGAACACAGGAAAAACAGATGTGACTGGTTTGAAGTATGCGTGGTACATTCGAGAACTGGTTCAATGCGCCGTTTGCGGATAAGTGTGACGTGTCTCTCAATGAGGAGGAGTAGCTGCTGGTGATTCGGAGGCTACACCAGGTGGGTTCTCCCTGAGATGCCCCCCCTCTCCCCACCTTCGTCCACTTCCCCACCCTTCCCCCTCCCCCTCCCCCTCCTCCTCCCCCTCCCCCTCCCCCTCCCCCATCCCCTCCCCTCCCCCTCCCGCTCTCTCTCCCCCTCCCACCAAACACACACAGGTCATTCGTCCCTTCATCCTCCGCCCAAAGTAGTCGGAGGTAAAAACCGGGAGTTTTCTCTCTCCTACCCCTGCCCCACTCATCAACCCCTGCTCTCCCTCCCTCTCGACTCCCCTTCCCCCCTCCCTCACACAGGTCATCCGGCCTTTCATCCTGCGTCGAAAGAAGTCAGAGGTCGAGAAATTCCTCCCGCAGAAGCGCCAAGTCATTCTCAAGTGCGACATGTCCGCCTGGCAGCGCGAGTACTACTCCCAAATCGTCTCCGCTGGCTGCGTCGGCCTGGACGACAGCGGGGGAGGAGGCAAATCAAGAGCGCTTCAGAACACAGCCATGCAGCTCCGCAAGTGCTGCAACCACCCCTACCTCTTTCTTCTAGACGCACTCGACCACCCCTACCAGCCGAATTCCCCCAACGAGCGCGTTCGGGCAAGTGGAAAGTTTGAGCTGCTGGACCGGATTCTGCCCAAGTTACAGGCTGGGGGGCATAGGATTTTAATGTTCTCTCAGATGACTAAGGTAATGGATTTGCTAGAGGATTACCTTCGGTCGGTCGGCATGCTTTATCTGCGTCTGGACGGCATGACCAAAACAGATGAACGAGGCCGCCTGTTACAGATGTACAACGCTCTGGACTCGCCGTATTTTATCTTCCTGCTGAGCACGCGGGCGGGCGGCCTTGGACTGAACCTGCAAACGGCGGATACGGTGATTTTATTTGATTCCGATTGGAATCCGCAGATGGACCAGCAGGCGGAGGATCGGGCGCACAGGATCGGGCAGAAGCGGGAGGTTCGGGTGTTTGTGCTTGTGAGCGTGGGGTCTATAGAGGAGGAGATTTTAGAGAGGGCGAAAAGCAAGATGGGGATCGATGCGAAGGTGATTCAGGCGGGGATGTTCAACACCACGTCGACGGCCCAGGAGAGGAGAGAGCTGCTGGAGCAGATTATGAAGCGAGGGAAGATCCCGGATCTGGCCCCAGATTTGCCAGATGAGAGTGAGACGAATCGGCTGATTTCGAGGACGGAGGAGGAGTTTGAGATGTTTGAGCGAATGGATGAGATGCGGAGGCGGCAGTTTGGGGCGGCGCGGCTTGGACTGATGGAAAGAGACGAGGTGCCGGAGTGGGTGTTTTTTAAGGGGGGGGAGGGAGGGGAAGGGGGGGAGGGGGGAGTGGGGGAGGATGGGGCGGGGGTGGAGATGGGGAGGAGGAAGAGGAAGCAGGTGGTTTATACGGATGCGCTGAGTGAGTCGCAATGGCTTCAGGTGATTGAGCAGGGGAGGGACGCTCAGGAGATTTTAACAGAGAAGGCTGAGAGGCTGATGCAGAGGAGGGAGAGGAAGAGGTTGAAGGTGGAGAGGAGGGAAGGGGAGGAGGGGAGGGGAGGTGGAGAGGAGGAGGGGGTGGAAGTGTTAGGGGTGGATGAGAGTGAGAGAGAGGAGAGTGTGGATGTGGGTGGGGAGGGAGGAATGGGGAGAGAGGGGGTGGTGGAGGGGGGGAGGGGAAGGGGAAGGGGTGGGAGGGGGAGAGGGGGTGGTAGGAGGGGGAGGGGGAGAGGAGGAGCAGGGAGGGCAGGAGGGGGGCGGGGGAGAGGTAGGGGGAGAGGGAGGGGGAGAGGCAGGGGGAGGGGCGCAAAGGTGGCAGATATTTCTGTAATTGGCAGTCAAGGGGATGGGGGAGCAGAGGGAACGGAAGAAGGGGGAGGGGGAGGGATGGGCGGAGGAATAGGGCGAAGGATAGGGGGAGCGGTAGGGGGAGGGGAGGGGAGCGAGGGGGAGGGGGCGAGTGGGGGAGTCCCGTTTGCAGAAGCCAAGGTGAAGAGGAGGAGAGTGAGGAGGAGGATTACAGGGGTGATGGCAGGAGGAGAGGCAGAGAGAGGGGAGGGGAGGAGGGAAGGAGGGTGGGGAGGAGCAGAGAGGGGAAGTGGGGGTAGGCATGGCTATGCAGCTTTTTCTGCTGGGGTGAGTGGTGGTGGTTACAGTGGTGGTGGTGGTGATGGTGGTGGTGGTGTTGCTGGCGCTGGTTATAGCGATGGTGGTGGTGGTGATGATGATGATGATGCTGCTGATGGTCATGGTGTTGGTGATGGTGTTGGTGATGGTGATGGGGATGATAGTGATGGTACCGGTGCTGGTGGTGACTATTCCGATCGTGCCTATAGAGAAGGCAGCAGCGGCCGATTTGGGCACAGCAGTGGGGTGTTTGGTGCTGCAGGGGCAGGAGGGGGAGGAAGAGGAGTAGGAGGAGGTGACTATAACGAGGGGGAAGGGGGGTTCATGGATGCTCCCGAGGGGAATGATGAGAGCGATGAAATGGAGGGGTTGTGGGAGGAAGAGTAGGGAGTTATGGGAGGAAGAGTAGGGGTCGAGATGGGGAAGCAGGTTCTGGGAGGAGACGGGGTGGGGCTATGTGTTCATTCATGAGTGGCAGGTCACTCCTGATTGGCCTTTGAGGCGTCTCAAGAGGAGGAATGAGGATGAGGAGCATGATGATATGGACTTGAGGAAGGCATTGTGTGGGGGAGAAAGTCCAAGAGAGTGAGATGGGGAGGAGGCAGGGTGGGTGAATGGGTGGCAGAGGTGGGGTTAGTGGGGTGAGGAGGGTATCAGTGGCAGATGCAGGAGACGGTTTGTTTGGGTTGTTACGGTTGCTGGCTGGCTACATGTAGCTGGTGGTTTCTGAGTGATACTGATTCTGCATGGCTATCCTACCAGCAGGCCCTCAGATTCGTTTTTGGGCAGTCTGATTTGTCAGACTTAATACACATTTTTAGTCTGATCAATCAGACTTGGTACAAAAAAAAAGGCTGAAATTTCAGAGTTCAAGAGGAAAAAAGTCTGATATACCAGTAGTGAAGCTGGTTGATCAGCTTAAAACGAGGTGATATGATAATGGCGCTGCAACACTGCTGTTACTGTTTCAGCGAGACTGACAGGACAAAGTTGTACTTCCAGCGCTAATCTTGTGTCAGGTCAGATTTCGCATTGGCATAACGAGAGTAGGTACCCGCTAAAACGCTCATGAATCAGAGTACACTCTGAGAAAAAGGCTGAATTTTCAGACAAGGCCTAAAATAATTTTCTGAATATTCTGAGTTCACAGCAAAAAAAACTCTGAACTTTCAGAGTTCACTAAGAAGAAAGGCTGAAACATCAGAGTTTTTTTAGGCAAATCAGAGAAATTTCTCTGACTTCTGGGGGCCTGTTCTGAAATGAAAACAATAAAGGATATCTACATCTAATGACAGATTATTGTTGCGCTATATTTTAGGAACCCAAAAACTCCCATGAAAATAATTTCTACATATGTGTGATACTAGTGATATTATATTAATATATCCCTTGCTCAGGATGCTACTGAGGAGGCTAATATGGGGCATGGAGGAGGAGCCGCAGGGCATGAAAACGAGGGAGAGGGTGATGGTGTTGTGGGTGTTGTGGGTGGTGTGGGTGGTGTGGGTGGTGAGATGGTGGGAGGTGGAGGAAGGAAGGGGGTTGAGGTGGGGGGTGCAAGGGGCATGGGGACGGTAAGGGGTGTTGGGGCGGCAAAGTGGAAGGGAGTGCGAGGCTGCATAGAGGAACCTGTTTGTGATGATTCTGTGGGGGAAGTGGGAGCAGTGGGTGGTTTTGATGGTGGTTCGGCGGGTGGTTCGGTGGGTGGTTCGGCGGGTGGTTCGGCGGGTGGTTTGATGGGTGGCTTAATGGGTGGTTCGGTGGGTGGTTCGGCGGGTGCAAAGTGGAAGAGAGCACGAGGCTGCCTAGAGGAGCCCGTGTGTGATGATTCTGAGGGGGCGATGGGTGGTTCGGTGGCTGGTTTGTTGGGTGGTTCTGTAGGTCGTTCGGTGGGTAGTTCGGTGGGTAGTTCGGTGGGTTCTTCAGTGGGTGCTGCGGTGGGTGGTTCAGTGGGTGACATAGGTGGTTCGTCGCTTGCAGTTTCATCTGCGGTTAAAGGCGAAGAGGCAGAGCAGGAGGGCAACGAAAGCAACGGCAACGAAAACGATGAGGGGGAGGGAGAGGAGAGAGTGGGGAGTGGCAAGCAGCAGCAGCAGCAGCAGCAGTTGCTGTACGAGTGTCTGTGGGAGGACAGGAAACTGGAGGAGGCAGCGGCGGCATCGGGGACGTATCAACTGCTGCGATTGGAGATGAGGAGAATGAAGAAGAACCCGCGGCTGACCGACAGAGAGTTTGTGCGGCAGGTATGGATGGTGGCAGTAGCAGGTTCTCATGTACCTAAAAATATACAAGACGCCTCAAGAGGAGATGACGAGAATGAAGAAGAACCCGCGGCTGACCGACAGAGAGCTTGTGCGGCAGGTATGGATGGTGGCAGTAGCATGTTCTCATGTACCTAAAAATATACAAGACGCCTCAAGAGGAGATGACGAGAATGAAGAAGAACCCGCGGCTGACCGACAGAGAGTTTGTGCGGCAGGTATGGATGGTGGCAGTAGCAGGTTCTCATGTACCTAAAAATATACAAGATGCCTCAAGAGGAGATGACGAGAATGAAGAAGAACCCGCGGCTGACCGACAGAGAGTTTGTGCGGCAGGTATGGATGGTGGCAGTAGCAGGTTCTCATGTACCTAAAAATATACAAGACGCCTCAAGAGGAGATGACGAGAATGAAGAAGAACCCGCGGCTGACCGACAGAGAGTTTGTGCGGCAGGTATGGATGGCATTGAATTGTATATATGAGTTGACTTGAAAGTGATGCGAGAATCTTTATGAGGGGACGATGAAGAAGAACTCCCGGCTCACTGACAGTGAGTTCGTGCGGCAGGTATGGTGGCACTGGCAGGTCCGTACGGCAGGTACGGTGGCACTGGCAGGTTCGTACGCCAGGTACGGTGGCACTGGCCTGTATTTCTGAGTTGACTTGAGAGTATGTTGTGTGAGTCTTTATGGGAGGAGAATGAAGACGAACCCATGGAGGGTGTTTTTGGGAATTCTCAAAAACACCCTGCAGCATCATGAAGACGAACCCCTGGCTCCGACAAAGAGTTTGTGAGGCAGGCCTGGATCAACCTAAACCACAGGGCGTAACTGGTGTTACGTTTGAGAATTCTCAACCTAAACCACGGGGCGTAACTGGTGTTATGTTTGAGAATTCTCAACCTAAACCACGGGTCGTAACTGGTGTTATGTTTGAGAATTCTCAACCTAAACCACAGGGCGTAACTGGTGTTATGTTTGAGAATTCTCAACCTAAACCACGGGGCGTAACTGGTGTTATGTTTGAGAATTCTCAACCTAAACCACGGGGCGTAACTGGTGTTATGTTAGAGAATTCTCAACCTAAACCACGGGGCGTAACTGGTGTTATGCTTGAGAACTCTCAACCTAAACCACGGGGCGTACTTCCGAGACCCATGCCCTTCCGAGACCCATGCCCATCCTCGGAACCATAAACAGAGCCAGTACCCCTTGCCTCTCCCTCCCTTCTCGTGCAGGTGAAGCAGCTGTGTGTGAGGAGCATCTAGGCGAGCTCACAGGCCGTTTTCACCTGAATCACGGGGCATACTTCCGAGACCCACACATCCTCACTGTGAGCCCCTTACCCCTTGCCTCCCGCTTCTCTTGTGCCCCTTGCCTCCCCATTTCTTCATTGTAGATCAAGCAGCTGTGTGTGATGATAGAGGAGCATATAGGAGAGCTCACGGGTCGCTTTGAACTCAACCATGGCGCATATTTCCGAGACCCGCGCATCCTCGCTGTCATCTCACTTCCTGGCAAACACAGAGCCCATTCCCAGTGTCTCCCCTTTCTTCTGTGTCCCTTGCGCTCCCCTTCTGTCCTGCAGATCAAGCAACTGTGTGTGATGATAGAGGAGCATATAGGCGAACTGACGGGTCGCTTCGACCTCAACCACGGGGCCTATTTCAGAGACCCGCGCATCCTCGCTGTCATCGCGCATTTCCTGCAGCACTGGGCTCTCCCTGATTGATCCCGGTCCCTTGATGTGGATTTGCTGCGCGTGCAGCCATTATCGGAGATCGCTCTAACAGCCTCAGGGCAAGGAATGGGCGCGAGAAGCGATGGGCAAGGGGAGTGTACGGAGGATGTGGAATGGGAGTCAGGTGCGGGTGGTGTGGCAGGTGTGGAGGAGTGACAGGCATAGGAGATATGGCAGAAGGGGATTTGTTGGAGGTATCAAAGCTGTGGATATCAAACTCTACAGGTGGTGTGAGCAGTCGCACTCCCAGCTGTCAGAATCCCAACCACTAGACAATTGGGATAAAAGGGCTTGTTAAGTAGCGGGTCAGTGCGCCCATAACCCCCCAGGACAACGAGCCTGTAACCCTTCCCTAGGATCAATCGGGGATCACCAGTGAACCTCTGACACCCCCCCGCACTGGGATGCCCGAAGTGCACACACTGGGATTCGAACCCGAGACCTTGGCTCTGATACCATGTCAGAATCCCAACCACTAGACCATTGGGATAAAAGGGCTTGTTAAGTAGCGGGTCAGTGCGCCCATAACCCCCCAGGACAACGAACCTGTAACCCTTCCTTAGGATCAATCGGGGATCACCAGTGGACTTCTGACACCAGCATGGTGGGGTTCCGAGGGAAGCGGAGCAAGAGTGAGAAGAAGAGAAGCAAGAGAGCAGGGAAGGGGAATAGCTCCTGGTCTGGTCAGCTTTGGTTGCCCCGAGGTTTTTCCGGGCAGCTTTCCTCGAGCCAAGCTTCTTAGTCTGTGTTGGTCCACAAAACATAAGTACCCTATTGTCATCTTATCATGGCCCCTGCATGATTGCGTTCAGTGTCAGAAGGCAACACATGTCATGTCCATCCCCTGAAAATACCCCAGCCATGTCCTGCTAAACCCCAACCTATGGCGCCTGTTAGGTACCGGTAACTCTCCAGCAGCAGCTGTCTTCACCTCACTCCTACAACAACTCATGGTCGTTCCACTCAAACCACCCCAGCCATAACGCCTATCATATCATGTAACCGTCCAGCAGGATAAACCAGCACATCTCCCTGCACTGTGGCGCCTCAAGTCCTGAGTCTCATCTAGGGTAGAAGTGGTGGATTTCCATACCAGCGCTAGGCTGTCCTGTCCTGAATCCAAGCGGGCGCATAGCCTGTATTACCAGCAACAACGGTAGGACTACTTTAGGTTACAGGGAAGCAGGATAGGGGAGCTCGGCCCAGCAGGTGTGGCGGTGTCCGAACCTCTGGGTCTCGGTGTGGAGGATCTCTGCCAGCACCTCCAAAGACTCTACTCGCCAGGCTGGCATACAGCCAATACCGCCATACAGCCTATACCACCATACAGCCTAGACCATCACACAGCCTAGACCCACCGCTAGGTCTACTTCAGGTTACAGGGAAGCAGGATAGGGGAGCTCGGCCCAGCAGGTACGCCCGTGCCCGAACCTCTGGGTCTCGGGGTGGAGAATCTCAGCTAGCACCTCCAGGGACTCCACCAGGCTCGGCCTGGGCCTGGAGAACAGCCTCGCCGCCTCCACCACAGCCATGGTGGGCAGGTTCGGCGATGGGCCATGTGCTGCTCTTGCACCTCCTGCTGCTGCTGGTGGTGCTGCTGCGACTGATGATGATGATGATGGTTGTGATGGCACTGTTAAAGGCCGGTATGCCTCCCCACTCGCCTCCACCCCACTACTCCTGCCTCCTTGAAACATTTTCCATTTCTGCACAGCCTCCCGTTTCACTGCAGCAATGGACGCCGGCAAATCACAGCCGCACACCGCAAAGATCACCGCATCAGCGGTTCTGATCAAATCCTGTAGCTCCTCTTCAGGAACCATCCTGGAACTTTCTGACCCTGTGCCGCCGGCCAATCGGATCAAATCTGGGACCCATGCCCCCGCCAGGAAGATCGGATCGAGCCATTGAATGCACACGACTTTTTTTCTCGGTCTGCCCGCACACATCCCACGGACGGTCTGGATTCGCTGCATGAGGTCCTTGGCCGTGGATTCGGCACGCTGCGATTGGCCTAGCGCGGCGCCGATCCGACGGACATCGTTGATCGCTTCGACGAGGGATGGAGGGTCGAGATGAACGATCTTGACTTGAGAGCCGAGCACGTGAGACAGCACGTTTTGAACATCCTCGAAAGAAAGCACCTCGGGCTCTTCTTGCAGCTGATTGGTCGAAAAGGAGGGGGGCAGGGAAGTTTAAGAGTGGGTATGGAGGGTTGGGGATGGGGATGGGCATGGGAGGTTGTTGTGGGCCTAGCACATGAGAGCGCCCGTTTTTGTCACGGGTCCGTCTGGTGAGACGGGCAAAGGACATCAAGATGGGAGGAGAAGAAGGATAACTGATATGAGGGGTTGCATTGAGTGCGGTGCAATGGGGTAGGTCGGGATGGAATGAGATAAAAAGAAGTGCATTTGATGGAGTGATGGTATGCCCCGGCATGGGGACAAGTGCTACATCCGCGTCACAGTTACATCTCATTCACCTGCGTGAGTATGACATCTGGTTGGAGGCGTTTCAGCATGGTGACATCCACATGGTAGGGTGAGAGAAACCACTCCAGCAGCAGATCAAACGAGGGATCAGATACATGAGGAGACGAGGCAGCAGCAGCCGCACTACCCACACTATCACCACCCGCAGTAGCAGGAGAGGCAGCAGGCGGTTGTGGCAGAGGCGGCAGGAAGGCCAGCTGCCAGGCCGCGGAGGCTCGGAGGGTCGATATTGCCATGTGCACCTCGGCTTGGGACATTGCAGGCTCGGCCGAGCCTGTGCTTGCTGGGCCTAGCTTAGGCTCGGTGCAGACAGGGATGGAGTCCGTACCTGGTGCGTCGCACTGGGAAGGAGGGATGGAGAGAAAGAGAGGAGGTGAAGGGAGACAGGAGGGGTTGACGGAGAGAGTAATAGGCGAATAAGGAGAGAGAATGGAAGAGAGGGGAACAGGGGAGGTGGAGAGACGAGAAGGAGAGAGGAGGAGAAAATGTAGCGATGGGAGGAAGACTGATAACGCAAATGGCACTATGTTTTCGTTACGGTCGCGGATTCTTTCATGCAGTCTCATTAAACTGTCACATTCACCAGAGTCACATTGACCACAGCCGCATTCACCAGTCACATCAGTCACATCCACCACAGTCACATTCACCACAGTCACATTCACCTCATGCGTGCGCGCAACCAGCGCGCTCGTCAATCCCAAGGCCGCCACGGAGTCCGTCGCGGCCGGCAGCAGCGAAACCACGCGAAGCTTCCATTCCGACATCCTTGCCGGCTAGCCGTTTTGTTGGCTTCCTAGCCCGGACCCAACAGCTAACGGCCTTCTGAAACGACAATGTGATTTGGTGACGGTCTACGGAACGACGATGCGAGCTAGTGACGGCTCACGGGACTACAATGCAGCTAAAAGAAAGACACTCGCGACGCACTCCAACGGACCTTAGACCAGCGCTGTGGCCTTCGATATTGTGTGAGTTCTGTCACTGGACCGGCGTAGCGAGCACAAAGGAATGATAAATTCGCGACACGAGCGACGAGGGTTTTGATGGAAGGGGTCCCAACAGCGAGTTTTCCGAAGTGAGATGATTCTGTTCCTCGGTAAAGAGGGTTCGTTAAAGGGGTTCCACCCACATACGCATCCTCATGATGTACCAATAAAGCAGTATAAAGAATCGTATTGCACCATTATGACGGTAACAGGTCCTTGAGTATTGATGCCTTCTTATCTACTCTTTTCTTTTCCTTTCTGTACAATCTCCCTTGAGCATCGCGCCCCTTCTGGTCTAAGGCCGCACCCCTAGCATCCAAACCAGCTCCTAGAGCTGCGCTCTGCTTCGCAACCTTTCCAAGATTGCTCTTCTTGCCACCTGCATTCCCAGATACGTTCTTCTCACCCCGTAACTTCCAAACAGCAGCAACTTGAGGCCGTGCTCCACTCACCCCAACACTAGACCTTTTCACAGCCTGATCTTCAACTCCCATCATCCTTGCTGCAGCACCAATGCCTGCCAGATTTCTCTCCTTTTTCTCTCTAGTTCCAATCCTTAACAGCCCTGATTCTTCCCCGACCTTCCTTTCCTTTAAATCCTCGTCCCGCTCCTCCTCTTCTTCTCCTTCTTCCCTCTCTACTTCTTCTCCCTCTTCCCCCTCCTCCACTTTCTCTCCTTCTTCTCCCTCTTCCCTATCAGCTCCCCACTCTTCACCATCCACCTCCATCTCCCCTTCCCCCTTCTCCATCTCCCCCTCTCCCTCCTCCATCTCACCCTCCCCCCCCTCATCCTCCAGGATCTCTTCTCTGCCCCCCTCACTATCCATCTCCCCATCTTCCCCACCTTCCCTCCTGCCATCCTCCCCACGCCCCATCCCCTCCTCTCGCCCCCCATCCCCATCATCTCCCCCCAACCCCTGGTCCCAATCGACCCAACCAGCCACCCCCTCCCCTCCCCATGCCCCCCCACTGCCAAACACCCCCCTTGCCTCCACTGCCCCCTCCCCCCTTTCAACCCCCCTATCCCCAATCCCCATCCCTGTCCCCATCACCACCTCCCTGTCCCTCCCTCTCCCCCGTCCCCCTCCTCCCCTGCCCGCCTGCCCTTCCTTTCCCCCATCGTTGCTGACCGGGGCAGAAATAAATTCTCCAAACCCCAGCTCCTGCATTAGCACTGCCATGGACGGCCCATCAGCCCCAAACGGACCCCTGCCGCTCTCTCCACCATCTCTGCCTTTACCATCCTCTCCCTGACCAACTATCCCTTGCCCCGCTCTCCCTTGCTCCTCTCTCCCTTGCCCTTCTCTCCCTTGCCCATCTCCTATTTGGCCCTTCAGCCTCTTGTGCCTTCCCTCTGCTTCTTGTATCTCAACAGGTGTTCCTGCAGCGGGTGTGCCTGTAACAGGTGCAGCGGGAGAGGCTGCTACAGGAGCAAGTGTTGCGGGAGCGGCTGCCATATTCGCCTGTGTAGAAAAAAGCGCGTCTGCAGTCATTTCAAGTGCTCCACTCTTCACCTTCTTCTTCTTTTTGTTGTTGCTGCTGTTGTTGCTGCTGGTTGTGATGGGCCCCGGAGTAGGGAAGGCGCGGGAGGAGATCAGGAGGGTCGAGGCTTGCCATATGTGATATAGGCGGGGAGGGAGAGTTGGGGGAAGGGAGACCTGAGTGGGGGAAGGGATGGGAGGGGGAGAAGGGGGGTGAAGGATGGGATGCGAGGAAGACAAGGTAGCGGTTTGCAACGATGCAATGATAAGGATGAAAGTAGGTAGCTGCAGCTTTGGTGAGCGGACAAAGAGAGGTCAACAGAGGAAAGTGAGGGAGTCACTGGGAAAAGAACCAAGTGGAAAATTGATGTCGGCAGTTTAATGAGAAGAGTTGTGAGGCAGAGAAATGTGGGATGCTAGAGGAGCAGTATGAGTAGTCGGGCAGAGCAGAGCAATGCACAGTACGAGAGGAGCAGTATGAGTATTTAGGAGGAGCAATGTGGGGAGCGAGAGGAGCTGTATGCGTAGCGGGAACGTGGACTACCTTGCCTCTTGCTGCCGTCGCTGTCAGGCGATTATAAACCGAAATGTGGTGTAGCTGACACTGTAGAAGTAGAAATAACACCCAAGCACACAAGAACACAAACATAATGCTGCAGATGAAGAGGCACACATCAATCACGGACCTCCCTACAGTAAGCAACACGAAGACATCAGACAGACGAGTACCACTTCAAGCCCTTCAAAAAGCAGGGTTAACAAAAAAACAACCCACCTGAAGCAAGAGGATGTAGAGCCGACCCAAACAGGCAAAGCTCGTGACACAGAGAGGAAGGAAGCGCTCCAGTATAACCAGACCAGCTATAAGGCTGGAAAAGGGGACGAACAAACACCACAGTAACTCCCCTGGAATTCAAACAATGGGCTGAAATCTCAATCACTGAGCTTAAAAATAGAAGGATGCCAACGTTTACAGAAAGGGTTGGTGCTTGAAGGATAATGTAACAGAAGGGGTTTCAGGAGTTCGGGTGTAGGGTTACGCGTTCAGAGCTTGAGCGTTGACTGTACTGCTGGCATTGAATCTTACCGCGCGGCTAGAATCAAAAGACCTGTAGTCTGAGAGGGTTTAGGGTAGGAACGATGCACAGGGGACATGGAGAGGGATGGGAGAGGGAGGGAATGGGGGGGATCAGGAAGCAGGGAGGGGTTGGGCGGCAGGGACAGAGATCACCAAGTGGGAGAAAGGCGGTGAAGGGGAGAGATGGAATATGTGCGTTGGGGGTTTATGCGACAGATGAATGTCGAGAAAATTATGAGAACAACTTGCAACACAGCGCTTGAACGTACTGTTGAGAATTCTATTGGAACCGACTTAACTCTTGAACGCACAGTAGAGAGAAGACGAGCCGCCTGTAGTCACTTCCTGTTGGGAAAATCTTCTGAAATCAACTTACCTCTTGAACATACTGTAGAGAGAACACGAGCCGGCTGGACTGACAGCTGAGCTCCGGGCTTTGCACGACCGCCAGCAGCGCCGGCGGCGAGGCGTCTTTAATCTCTTGTAGCAGCTGGAGGACGTTTGAAGAGAGGAAGTCTCTTATTCGGCGGTGAAGCTGAAAGGGAGAGAGATTGGTAGATGGGTGAGGATACAAAGAAGATGCGGGGAGGATTTAAGAATGGATTAGTTAGATGCGGATTATCAACGCTTCTAGGTTACCTGGCGAAGCGCATGAAAATATTTCCCGTGTCGGTGCTGGTTGCGATTTTGACGTAACAACTTCCCTAGAAGCGATGTTTCGAGCTGCAAATCGCTTTCCATACGCGCTGTGAAGAAAAAGAAAAGGGTTTCGTCAGTCGGCGCTATTGAACCTATTCCAGCCCAATTGCAGTGGTGGATCTAATTTGTTGTGAAGGTAGCAAAGAAAGCACTCAGCACCGCTATAGCAGGAGGGCTTGCATCCAACCACAGAGCCGTCGCTACTGGACTTTCCTGCAGAAAGCGAGTACTCTATGATTTTCCGCGTTAATGACATGTGAGTGAACCTAGGATAGGCCGTGTGCGCACGAAACTCCGACTTCAGTTATCCTGTTTGTATTAGCTTGCGTCCTGTTACGAGTGCAATTGAGCGAGCGAGCGAGAATTGCACTATCGAAGCAAAACACCGTTTTTACCCGGGTAATGGACCCCCCAAAATTATAGACCCCTGGGTCGTTAAATGGGGGGGGGTCTAATGCTATATGCACTTTCGTATTAGACCCCCCTTTCAGAGACGTCATCCGGATTAGACCCCCCCCCCCCCCCCTCCCCCTTCCTCCCCCCCACCCGAACCCGTTTCCACTGTAGCATTTGTCAAATGGTTGTCAAAATTACTACCGTACTCTGGACATTTGTAATTAGGGGCCTACTAAACTACATGCTTCCTGATACCAAGGGCCTACTGAGTTGCCTATTCCATGGTTAGCATGCAATGAAGTCTACACCCTACACAGAGCACTCCTCTCCGTCACCGAAAGGATCATATGCGGCTGCATCATCATTCTCATATTCACCAGCAAATCAATATTCCACCCCCTCGTCAAGGTCCTCCTCTGCAACCTCACCTTCCAAAACCTCCTCGTCCTCCATTGTCGCCTCGGTGTGGTGGGGAGGACGAGACATGGTGCCGTTCTCCCCAGCCCACCCGGTAGGGTCCACCTCATCAGAAATCTCTACCTCGCTGCCTTCAGTCAGGTGGCGAAGGCAGAGGTGGTCCTCTGACCCATCCA